GACGGTAGTATCTAAACCACCATCTATCCTTCGTTTTATTCTGCAATCCAACATAGGTAATTCTCCTTGTTCATTTTCTACTTCGTAGTGAATTGGATTGCGTTAACTACTGAGTTTATGTGTGTCAAGAAACTGTCGATATGTTCCGATTTCAACACTGTAAATGTGTCATCTACATATCGCCACCATATCTTAGGTGTCGGATTATATGTTCGTAAAGCCATATCTTCCCAACTATCCATAAATATATCTGCTACTATAGGGGATATTGGTGATCCCATTGCTACTCCTTCTGTTTGTCTATATATCTTTCCCTGAAACTTGAAGACTGTCGAGGTTAAGCATAACTGCACTCCTAACATGATTTCACCAACCGATGCCTTGGTTCTTTGAGTAAGTTGTGAGTCAGTATCTAGTTGATTTCTGACTGCCTCCAGTGCCATATTGATTGGTATTTTAGTATAAAGACTTGTTACGTCAAAACTAACCATTTTTTCATCCTCTTCTATGTGCAGGTCATTAAGTTTTTGTTTCAACTCGTAAGAATTTACTAGTCTAGAGTTGGAACGGTCTCTAACAGGACGTAATACTGATGCTAAATACTTTGATATCTCATATGTTGGTGTGTTCGGAAGTCAACTATCGGCCTAATGGGATAACCTGCTTTATGAACCTTAATAGTACCGTAAATTCTGCTAGGATTATTAGTTTTTGGCATTAAAGTAAACCATTCGGACTTACCTAGAGATGGCTTCAGTCGGCGTATCAGATCTGTTGTAGATTTCTTAATTTTATTCATGACAGTATCTATAGGTTTCTTAATCTCTTCATATGGCCCTGTTTGGATATGTTCATCCATTTTTTTAAGATAATCCGATTTGTCCATAACTACTGTTGAGTTACCTTTGTCAGATTTAGCAATTACTATACTATTATCCTTTCGTAGATTGTTTAAAGCTGAATTTTCCAGTTTCGTTAAGTTTCGCTGTGTCTTCTTTTGTTTTTTAAGTGCTAATGCACACTGCGCTCTAACCTGTTCAGCAGTTGTCACATCCACCGAGCTTAATGCTACTTCTATGCTAGGTATGACATCTTCTGGTTTTAGATGATCTACTGTTATGTTGAAGTTTAGTCCTTTTTCAAGTACTTTCATCTCAGCTGAGCTTAAGGCTTTCGAGGAGAGATTGACCACCCACTTATTAAGAAATTAAGCACCATTCGGAATAAAGTTGAACAACTTAAATGTAAAATTATGAAGATAGTAAACGGCAGAGACTATGGATTTATAATAGAAACATCAGACAAAGCAAGATAAGCTACTTTCAAGAAAGGCTTTCGAGGAGAGATCGACCACCCACTTTGTTCTATCGATGTTTGATGATGTTTCCTTTGTAGTTTCATTGTTTTCCGAAGGATATCTTTCTTGCATCAGAATGTGGAACTTTTTCATTTGATTGCTTCTGAATTTCTCGAAAGTAGCTTATCTTGCTTTGTCTGATGTTTCTATTATAAATCCATAGTCTCTGCCGTTTACTATCTTCATAATTTTACATTTAAGTTGTTCAACTTTATTCCGAATGGTGCTTAATTTCTTAATAAGTGGGTGGTCAATCTCTCCTCGAAAGCCTTAAGCTCAGCTGAGATGAAAGTACTTGAAAAAGGACTAAACTTCAACATAACAGTAGATCATCTAAAACCAGAAGATGTCATACCTAGCATAGAAGTAGCATTAAGCTCGATGGATGTGACAACTGCTGAACAGGTTAGAGCGCAGTGTGCATTAGCACTTAAAAAACAAAAGAAGACACAGCGAAACTTAACGAAACTGGAAAATTCAGCTTTAAACAATCTACGAAAGGATAATAGTATAGTAATTGCTAAATCTGACAAAGGTAACTCAACAGTAGTTATGGACAAATCGGATTATCTTAAAAAAATGGATGAACATATCCAAACAGGGCCATATGAAGAGATTAAGAAACCTATAGATACTGTCATGAATAAAATTAAGAAATCTACAACAGATCTGATACGCCGACTGAAGCCATCTCTAGGTAAGTCCGAATGGTTTACTTTAATGCCAAAAACTAATAATCCTAGCAGAATTTACGGTACTATTAAGGTTCATAAAGCAGGTTATCCCATTAGGCCGATAGTTGACTTCCGGAACACACCAACATATGAGATATCAAAGTATTTAGCATCAGTATTACGTCCTGTTAGAGACCGTTCCAACTCTAGACTAGTAAATTCTTACGAGTTGAAACAAAAACTTAATGACCTGCACATAGAAGAGGATGAAAAAATGGTTAGTTTTGACGTAACAAGTCTTTATACTAAAATACCAATCAATATGGCACTGGAGGCAGTCAGAAATCAACTAGATACTGACTCACAACTTACTCAAAGAACCAAGGCATCGGTTGGTGAAATCATGTTAGGAGTGCAGTTATGCTTAACCTCGACAGTCTTCAAGTTTCAGGGAAAGATATATAGACAAACAGAAGGAGTAGCAATGGGATCACCAATATCCCCTATAGTAGCAGATATATTTATGGATAGTTGGGAAGATATGGCTTTACGAACATATAATCCGACACCTAAGATATGGTGGCGATATGTAGATGACACATTTACAGTGTTGAAATCGGAACATATCGACAGTTTCTTGACACACATAAACTCAGTAGTTAACGCAATCCAATTCACTTACGAAGTAGAAAATGAACAAGGAGAATTACCTATGTTGGATTGCAGAATAAAACGAAGGATAGATGGTGGTTTAGATACTACCGTCTACAGAAAACCAACACATTCTAACAAGTATCTAGACTTCAAGTCATCTCATCCAGTGTCAGTTAAAGCGGGTTTAGTCAAATGTCTAAATAACAGAGCTGAGAAACTCACTAGTCATTGTAAGGACTTAAATAAGGAATTGAAACACATAAAAGAAGCGTTAATAATTATCCCCATCATTTTATTAAGAAATTCACACGGACACATAAGAAGCAAAATAATAACACTAATACAAATACAAATAATAGTGACAACATAAGTAGAAAGGAAATCAACACCTCTATTGTGATACCATACAAGGAAGGAACATCAGAAACCATACGTAGGATTCTCAACAAGGTTGGAATTAGGGTGGCATTTAAACCAACAAACTCACTTAGAGGTAAGCTTTGTCGGCTAAAAGATCCGATAGAACCAATTAAGCAAAATAATATAATCTACCAAATTCCATGTAATGACTGTGAGGTCAAATACATAGGTCAAACTAGCCGGTCGGGGTCAGTTAGATTAACAGAACATAGGAATTTAGCTAAACATAGAACGACAGACCCCAATAAGATCAATAACCTAGAAAAACACTCAGCCATTGCATTACATTCATTAACACACAACCACACAATAGGGTGGGACAAAACCACTGTACTTAAGTCTAATATAGCTAGGTGGAGAGAGAGAGATTAATTACTGAATCTTTGTTCATCGAATCCACACCCAACACATGTAATAGGAATGACGCAACACCTATACCAGAGATATGGAAAACTTTACTACCAATCAAAAAACAAAGAGAGATCAGGTGACAGGACTATAAAATCAGATATTGAAAGAAGTGTGATTACACTGATATGATTATGAGCAATAATTTATGCTCGAAACGTAATCAAGTAAATAATACTGTATCACTGTGCGCTATATATCAAGGAAACGAATGTAATATGGCATTACATTCTACCACGGTGCCCAGGTTTTGCACTTACACTTTACTCTATTGGTATCCGTGGCACCGCTGAAGTCCAACGCACTATATTTGTAAACATTTTTGTATCTTGGATGATGGTTTGATAAACAGTGAATATACTTTTCGATAACTTCTTCCTCAGACACTGTACAATTTTTAGCAACCTGTATTGTTCAATCAGCTAAAAAATATTGTAGCGTATTCGAAATCTTACTCATTCACCTCAGATTTCCGCCTCACGTCTTCGTTTTCCAGCTCTATCGTTTGTCAGTTATCTTTTATTATTTTAATTTAAGTACATCGTATTTACTTGCTGAGTCGTCAGCTCACCTTTCCTCTGTTCCTTTTTGCTGTTGCAGATTCTCGTGTTCACGACCAAACACACTGCTCAGTGGCCCCCCCTCCCTTCCCCCCGGCAACAACGTATCTATCTACAGGCTAGATGAAAACTTATCAACAACTGGTCGTTGTAGTATATGTTAACAATAAGCATTTATATTGTCGTCAATCGTTAATACAATTCAAAATGATCAGTAATCTAGATGATAAAATGATACTGGGTGATCAAAATCAATTGTACCTGAGAGGTACGGGATTGTAAAGCTGACCACAAGGTTATAATAATGGCTATAACTGTTTCTTTTGCACATATAATTCAGGCTATTTTATCTACTTGTCTCCAGTTTCTACTATTCGAAGTATTCTGTATCTTTTGGCTGTTGGCAAATAATTGATTCATATTTGCCTTATTGATCTATTTGAACCAAGGATTGAGTAATCTCTGAATAGCAACCAACTTCATGTTGTCAACTCCTGAGTGTTGAATGAATTCTATCAGTCATTTTTGCAATATGCCCATCACCAAGCTAGGAGGCTCAGCATCGTGGTGCATTTTGATGGATATTAGTTTCGTTAGAAAAACCATTCAGCAAGAAGCATTGGAATTAAGTTTCATTCTTGTTGGCATTCATCAACAAGGCGTATTTGCAACCTCTACGAAATTGATGTCCAGCCTACGAATGGAATCCTCATCGCCCAATGTTAAAGCAAGCGACGCTAAGTACATTTTTCACATCATCTTTACTTATCCATTCAAGGAGGTGTACACGAATACTGACCAGATCATAAGTAATTGACTAGTAAAGTAAATCTTTTCAATGACAAGTAATATAGTCAAATAGATAAAAGTTGATAGGATTAAGAAAAATCCCAATTATAGTTTATAACTAACAATAAACTAACTTACTCTGTTCCATGAATATGGATTTTTTACCAAATTTGTTCCTTCTATCATCTATACAAGGAAAGTTAAATAAGTATAACAGAAATAAGTCTGTAGAGGTCGAACAATTCGATCCAACAAAACAACAGAGAATAACAAGTATGCCAATAAATAGTAATAACTACTACTTGCTGTACAAGAGTTGGCCATCCCTCTTCCATAGCATAGTGGATAACGCCCTAGCATTTGAGGCGATGGGTACGAGGTTTGGGTACCAGTGGGAACAACATCACTGGGGTTCAGGTACATCCACCTGACGGGTCCCAAATAGGACAAAACTCGCGTCCTGGATTCTGCTGCTAGCCACGACCAAACAATTTATCATAAGTCTTTCATAGATGAAGAGAGAAGACTTTCAGATGACAGAGACAACAGTGGTCATGCTCACACAACTATTACAGAATGTTTCGAAGAAAGAAAGAAAAGGTACCTGACGATTGGAAGAAGGGCTACCTTATCAAACTCTCAAAGAAGAGAGACCTAAGTGTTTGCAAGAATCGGTGAGGAATCATACTCCTGCCCACTTCAAGTAAAATATTAAGCCTCATCGTTCTGGAGGGACTAGAAAAATACTCTGGATTCAAAATTACTACCGGAACAAGCTGGCTGACTGACTCCAAGAAGAAAAAATCATGTGTGGATTAAATTACAACGCTACACTATGCATCATCATAGAACACAGCATTGAATGTCAGTCAATTGAACTCTGTCTCAACTTCATCGACTTCGAAACGGTCTTCGACAGCGTCGATAGAGAAGTAATTTGGCAGCTGCTTCAATACTACAGTTCAACGGCAGCTATATGCTATATGAGGTTGCTACATGCCAAGTGATTGACAATGAAAAGCTTAGTGATGCCTTTGAAGTGAGGACAGCAGTAAGACAAAGCTGCTGCTCACTATCACCTATCATCTTCGTGACTGTAGTCGAATCGACTTGACTGGATCGTGCAACAAACAACTGTGACCACCGAGAAGATGGGCATACGTTGGTTTGACCATGAAAAGACCCATGAGGAAGATTTGGATTTTGCCAATGATGTTTCATATCTCATGTGACACAAACTAGAATATCTACAGGCAAAAATCAACAAGTTGGCAGAAGAGGCAGTGAAGACGGAACTTCAAGTGAACGTAGAGAAGACAGAGGTGATGAAGATACCCAACCAACAATAAGAAGCTCTAATCACCATGAACAGGAGAAACTTGAAGGAAGTAGCCTCCTTCACCTACCCGAGTGGGTAGCATTGTTTCAACAACGGGTGGCACACGCACAGATGAAGAATCCAAGGCAGCCAGGATCGGAAAGACAGCAAGACACGCCTTCCTTCATTAATCTGAAATCAGTGTGGAGATGGAGATTTACTGCACTGCACTGCACTCAGCATAAATCATGAACAAGATGCGGATTTTCATCACGAATGTCATTCAGTGCTTCTATGTGATATCTGACAAACTTGGCGCGTTACAGAAAGCATTTCCAACAAACTACAGACATTCATCAACAGCTGCCGGCTACGCTTACTCGATTCTGAATATGAGATGGCCAGAAAGAATAAGCAATAAGGAAATCACTGCAGCAAGTAACCAGCGAAGTAAGAACCTATTCCCCAACGTTTTTGCAGAAGGAGAAAGTGTAGATGGATTGGATTGGACGTACATTGAGAAGACCATTTGGGGACATGACAAGCCAAGTCAGACCATCAAATCGAAGCCAAATGGAAAACGTCGAGTTAGACATCCGAGGGTGACATTGAGGAGATCATGTTAGGAAGAAATGAAAGCTTGCGAGCAGTCGTGGAGCCAGGTTGAAAAGACTGCAGAGAAGAGAGTGAAATGCTGACGTGCTACTGAGGCCAGAGGTTCCACAAGGAACCCAAGGGACAAATAACAATAATAAATGGGGTGTGAAACGTGACTCTCCTGTACTTTACTACTCGATAAATTGTGGAAGTATAGTGTTGAAGGGTCTTGTGCACAGAAGAAACAGCTGTCAATTACTCTCAAATTTTTAACGGTTTTTCACCTGATTTCAGTCGACAATAATAACTAAAAGCACTGATATGAAATGATGTTGAATGTGCACTTTTAAATATTTCGATCTCATATAGTGTAAGGCGTCATAAAAACTCATTGCTCAATTTTTCCGCAGCTTACTGAGACATTTTGAAAATGTCTGTATGAACTATATACATCAGGATGCATTCAGTACCTTAAAGCGTTTGATTAGGAAACGATTGATTCCTATGAAATTACTAAACCTATAGAGTAAAAACATTGAACAATGCAGTAGTAATTAAGCAGTGGAGTATAAAATTCATGGTTTAATTCATTCAGTTATGTAACTAAGTTTCTGAAGCATTTCGTTTAGTTTCACGACGTTTCATTGTTACTCATTTTGTTGCTATAGAGGATGCACTTAAAAGGTAACTGTTATGAATTTTCTTTTCTAGGTTAACTAAAAAATTCTGTTTTATTGCCTTAATTATTGTCGGTTTCAGGTTGGTATTCATCATGGACTGACACCAGTTGGACGAATATTGGAAACCTGGAGCATAAGATAGATGTTTCGTCCCAGTAGAGATTCCTCAGCAGTGTCCATCCATGACCCCACCAGGGATCGAACCCGCTACCTTCAGGTTACATAGTTAGCATGTTACCACAAACCTCTAGATAGAATTTCGGTTTTCCTTTGAAAACTTACTTGATTTCATTTATATGGTGTTATTTACTATATGAGTATTTCAGAAACTGTAGATGTTAACCACAGTGACTCAAATAAATAATTCCTCTTCTCTATGTTGTACACCTCCCACATGAACTTTATGTGTTGTTGTTTGTGTCGTCTCAGAAAAATCCCTTTTCTTTAGCCTATTTCTCGTTTCAACCTACTTTTGTCTTTTTTTTTATGATGTTCGAAATAATGGAATACTATTCATACTAGGTGATAATTCAAGGTGAAATGGAAATTAAAATAGTGGCTGGATTTGAACCAGTGACCACCAGATTACCGGCCTGGTAATCTACCAACTCAGTTACAATGTCCAACTGCTGACCAGATTTTTATTTCACTTCAATCACCAAAGGTTTTGTCCAACTACCATATGAATTTGTGATGTGTTACTAACGCTTGATCGTATTCACACTGGCTGCTAACTAGTCAGGACTTCTTATCCAAATCCAAATCTAAATGGATTAGAATGACAGCGGGGAGCGAGGGGGGGGGGATCCGGCCACGATCCACATTTTTATCTTACTTTCAATCATAACCCATTATAAATAGTAGTCTACCTAGCTACGGCTGTTTCAGATAGTAAAAATTGATAAAAAATAAATAAAAATAAAAGAAAGACAAATTGTTCTACTGAATTAATCAACTCTACAAGTAATTTATGAAATGGGTAGTTTATGTAGTTCAGATGAGGAATCTTCAAAAGTTTTTCATGAAGTTAATTTACACAAGATTAATATATCAGTTGATAATCTAATGTAACTAAGTCCTAAATTAGTAACCTTATTATTATTATTATATTTATTCTTATTTGTCTCTTGGGTTCCTAGTGGAACATAGCGCTTCAGTAACACACCTTCATTCCACTCTGTTCTCTCCAATCTTTTGAACCTGGCTCCATCACTGCCACAAGCTCTCATTTATTCCTCATACCATTTCATCCATATCAACCTCATCTGGGACATCCAACTCGTCGCTTCCCATCTGGGTTCCACTCGAGTGCTTGGCCTGACGCGTGATGTCCCCAGTCGGCCTTCTCAGTGCATACCCAATCCATCTCCACTTCCTTCTACTGCATATTTAGTGAGCGATGGGTTCTTGCTTCGTTGGTTCGTTGCCAGCCAGCCAGCCGGCCAGCCAGAGTTCCTTGTCGCTTATTCTTACTATTCTGACCATGTGAGCTTCAGTAACGAGACAGAGTAGGCAGTTGTTGATGAATGAATATCTGTAGTTTGTTGGAAATGCTTTTCGTGATACGCCAAGTTCCTGAACCATATGGAAGCGCTAATTTGACTGAATTGGTGTTGAAAATGCCGCTGTTGTTGACGCTTTGTGCTGTGTGCAGTAGATCTTCACACTGTTTTCAGTCTAATGAACGCCTGTCTTGCCGTCTTTCCGATCCTGGTTATTTTTGACGTCGTCATCTGTGCCGCCTATAGTTGAAACAGTGCTGCCTAGATAACTGAAATAGGCTACTTCCTTTCTGTCAAACTATAGCTATCTCAGATAGTCAGAATGATAAACAATACTATTCATCTATTTTTCTGCTGGCGAAGTATTTGATTCCCTTATCGTTTCAAAAAACAGCGCTGAAACGACTACCATACTCCTGTGAGGTATTGTGAACGGTAATATTCTTACTAGTTAAAAGAGAGTGGAAACGAAAATTTACACAATGGCTAAAGTATATTACTTTCGAATGAAAAGATGCCAAGAAAACTCTGTACAGAAATGAAGGTTCTTATAACATCGTGCGCTCTTGGAAAAAGGGACTGACTTTTGCATGTTTAGTTAGATTCTTGAGATTTTTTTGTGTTTATGCATTCAAGCCTATTGTGTTTATGATCTAATCAAACTAATCTTCAATTAAAGTAAGACAGAAACACTTTCTTGCACGAATTTCTTCTGGTTAATCGCCTTGTCTGGAAAAACTGTTTTGTTCTGTTATCCAATTCAAACAGTTTTTTCTGATACATTTTGTAAAAGTTTCTCATATTCCTTTCGTTTTGTAACTCATGTGTTACCTGTCTTATAAAGTTTGTCTCCACTCTCTGTAATACGGTGAGCCATAAATGTCTTAAAAATACCTGTGGTAGGATGAGGTGTTGCTTCTTAGTGTCCTCTAGCATACAGTGTTCCGAATGTAAGAGTTGGTTCCATGATAATCGCACAAGCCTTACGCTTTCAGAATATAAAAAGTGTGGCAACGCAGGGAGCATCTACCTTTCGCATATTGTGCTGGTCAGTTATTCGTGAACTGGTTAAAAAAGCGAAACAACTTATAAATATGATCACGAAGAAGTTGGCATTCAAAGGAAAAGTTGATAACTGTGATAGCAATAGTGAAACACCATCCGTTGACACACAGATCGCTGTGTAAAACTTTAAGAATGTCCTACAACAAAGTGAAAGTCAGATGCATAGATTACTTACGAGGTTTGCTGACGGCGACTTGGGAAACGCTACAAAAACCGGAGTGAAGCAAGTACCCTCAGGTTCTCGCATCCTTAGAGTTGGCAGATTCTGTCTAAAAACTACAAACCATACGACTAGGCCAACTTCCGACGAAAAATACAGGGGCGGACTATTCTCAGTGCCAACCACAGAATCATGCAAGCTGAAGGTTCCGCGATCCAATTAGTGACGACAAGTCCAGTCAAGAGAATGAAAATCCATTCCAAGGCTGTCAGTAGTAAGGTCACTAAGCTAGACCTCAGTCAGCGTTGCACACCCAAATCTGTGAAACGGCAAGTAGCTAGGCCTAACTGGCATGCCAAAAAATCGGTAATGGCCATAGAACCAACTATCATCACTCCAAATAACAAAGATGAAGTACGGCTTCCTGAAAAGTCTGTAATCTTACAAAGACTGGAAGGAAATAGAGACCCAGAGCCACGTATTCGCTTTGAATATGACCTTGGTAGAATAAAAGTTTGGTGCACAAACTTTTATCGCAAAACATACCGAGAGTCACCCTTCTCAAGATATATAGAGCAGGCAAAACAAGAGACAGCCCTTAACGGAAACAGGTTTCGGTTACTCAAAGTCATGTCCATATCAATAGAGGAGACGGATCATATTCTGAAGAATACAATCTGCCCTCAAGAAATCGGAGTGTTCGTATGTAAGGAATTTCCTCCTACAGATTGGATCAAAAAATGAGGAGTAGAAAAATAGCCGAAATCCTGATTAGCGACAGAAGAGGAAGGTCTAAAAGTGGTGAGTTTTTTGTGATGAGACATGGGCAACAAATGTGACCGAAGCCCTTACGGATAGAAAGGAAACTTATTTAAGTGATTTCATCATCTTGTACACAAATGCACAGCCCCCAAACAAGTGGACTGAGCTTAGTAGCGTAATAAGTGTAGAAAGTCCTGACAGTATGCTGTCTCAGAAACTTGGCTCTCTTTTAGGACCAGTGACACTGAAACACATTTACGGGGATTTGTACCGTTTAGAGGTGATAGGTTAGCATACAGAGGTGGCGGTGGCACATTTTAAGTTAAGAATACGTCAACTGTAAGTGACACACAAACGGTTGCACTTGAAGTGCTGCGCTGCCGACTACAAGCCAAGGGACAAGATGTTAGTCTGATCGTAGTATATCGAAACCCTGAATGTGAGGCATAAGACTTCCTCCTTAATAGCTGATCCTCTGCACAGATGACTACTGATGCTTAGCTGCAGGAGACTTCAACGCACCATTAGTTGACTATGATGGACTAATAACTGAAGGATGATACAACTCATTTGATCATAAGTTAGTGGAAACGTCAGTTTCTTTGGCTTTAATACAGCACATTAGGGCAGCAACTGGATACGATCATAAGCATTATCCATCAGTTCTAAACCTAGTATTATCACACATATGTGATGTATGCTTCATGCGATACTTTGCACCCTTTGGTAAATGTGGTCATGCTTTGATCATCTTCAGATTCACAGCACCCGTCTTGTACCAGGCCGATGGCCAAGCAAGATCCAATGCATGGAAAGCGAATATGGTGACTAGTAGCTTAACAGCCTCTTCGAGGACCAGAGAGTCAATTGAGAAGCCTCATCTCAGTCTGCATGGTGCTCCTTCAAACAGTTATATACTCAAGTGACTCAACTGTTCATTTCGTGGACCGTTTCAAAGAGATGGAAACATCGTTATCTGTGGGTAAACCATGAATTCTAATGCAAGAAAAAGTGTTTAAGTCCTGTCAACTAAGGTGGTGAAACAGTAAAAAGAAGCCTAAAACAAATGTTTTGCTGCTATCCGCCGATCTTGAATATGGTTTAAAACAAGTCTTGCCCAGGCTGCACTGCAACATCCAAAGAGTTTATTTTCTCATACAAACTATAGTAATAAAACATATCGTGGTATACCAGCCACACTTAAAGGGACAGAAACTTACTGTTTAGTTGAGGATGATAAGGAAAAAGCAGAAGCCAATGATGGATATGTGGCTGAGGTTTTTACATAGGAACCTTCTGTGAAAACTAATTCAACAGAAGAAGTATTTACATCCAAGAGAATAAACTCTGTGGATATCGTTCGCGATGATTTATTCTGGATATTAAGTACTCTCAATGTAGAAAAGTCAAGGGAACCGAACAAGCTGCATTCAAGGCGTGGATTCTAGGTAACCGGCCCACTGACTACTACATTTGAACTGTCACTCAGTGAAGGCACATTTCCCTACGATTGGAAGGACGCCATAGTCACACCTATCAACAAGACAGGCTCTAGACAATACTCATCAAATTGCAGGCCGATGAGTTCGACCAATTTTATAGTAAAATCCTGGAAAGAGTAATCAAAAAGCCATTACAGTTCACTTAGACAGCAACATTCTACTGTCCCGTTTGCAGTATGGCTTTCACAGAAATACCTCTTGCTTGATGAACCTTTTCATAGTCAGAGAAAGTTAGATTAAGTCTAAGAATGACAGGATACCTATAGAAGTCATTTTCATAGACTTTGGTAGGGCGTTCAACAAGGCGCCTCATTCCAGATTGCTCGGGAAACTGGAAAGTTTTAAAATCACTACGAACCTACTTGCACGGTTCAGAGTTCTTTGTTGGTGGGAGACAAAAGTAAGGTTCAATTCTCAACTCTCCTCTTAAAAGTCGTTAGAGAGTGAATGGCCGCAAGGCACAGTGCTGGGTCCCCTGCTATTTCCCTTATATATAAAATGGCTGCCGAATATCACGAAATCCCCTATGGTTTTAGGCGATGGTGATGTAAACATCAGGCAAGAAATTAGGGATAATGAAGATATATTTGGACTTTAGGCAGACGTAAACAGCTTGTTTACCTGATGAGACAAGTGCCTGATGCCTATCAACACAGGTAAATGTGTAAGCATCTGCATGCGGCACACAAAAGGCGATACCATCCATGTTGGTGGAACTCCTCAACCCTCAGTATTGACCAACAATGACCCACCGTAGACTGCCGATTGGTGGCAGCTCAGAGTTCTAGGACACTGAGCAGAACGGTTACTAAAGTGAGTGGTGATATGTTCACCATTTTACATACGTTCCTTGTTGGATCTCAACCAACAGACTGTACACAGACGGCAAATCTCTGTCTAAATGGAGACTCAGACCTCTTTGAAAGAGTTCAGAAGGCAGTCACTAATATGATCCCTACGACGGAAGGTCTGACCTACAAAGATCGACTTAATGGGCTGAACCTTTTGTCTTTGTCTTATCACAGACAGGGGGGGGGATCTAGTCATGCTAAACAGGATTCTAAACAATGATTTTGAACTTAATCTACTTTTTCTTTTCCTTTTCACTAGGTTGGGTTACCTCTAAGGACATAGTAGAAGAATACAAAAGCAAAAGACGAACGAAGTCTCTGTAGAGTACTGGTTCTCGTGTCTAGTAAGTGACTCCTGGAACCAACTCCCAGGAGAAGTGGCGCTCATATCATCAATTGGCGTTCAGAAGAGGACTGGACAAGCACAGAGATCTGCTGGAAAAGGATTAATATAGCCTAATAGCCTTCTATCATCAAAAAACAAATCCGAATCATATCGTTTATACAACCTACTCTGGTGTATTTCAAGAAAAAAGTGGTCTGCCGGTCCACGGATGATTACCAAGCTAGTTTTCAAGCTGTGCTTTGATAGATGTGCCTTATAATTAGCTGCTGCGTTATTTGAAATATTACAAACTTGTGACGTAAGAAGCTCTTTTAACAACCAGATGTATACAGTTTGATAAGCAATCTTTTAGAGACCAGACGTATTAGGTTTCATGGTATAAAAATAGTCGGACCTTTTATAGACCCTACATTTGTGCATATATGATATCTGTTGCATTCTCAGTCAAACGATCGGTAAATACGTTTGTAAATGTACGAAAAAGGCTTTTCAAATATAAAGACCTCACTTGTTTAAAATAACACTGCTCCAAATGTCACAGTGAATCACAGTTTCTATAAAAAGAAATTTTATGTCGTGGAAATTATGTTTACCACTATAGGGGGGAAATGTATAAAATAGGTTATTTGTTCACTCACATTATAAGGCCCGTTTTCGCTAAGGAACCCTTCCATTGACGAGCATCCTGGCCCTCCATTTAACCATAGTATGAGGGGAGACGATTCAGCATTTTCAGTTGCTTCAACCAACCAGTAGTGTAATCGAATATTGTTCGTAAAGCCATTAAGGTAGCCAGAATATTGTTTGAAAGTTGGCATTGGCCATACACCAGGTAAGAAACTTATTTTATCATGATCTTTTTGTCCTGATAAAGCTTCTTTGGTTAGCAGACAGCAAAGAATGAACCCGAACAATGGGGCACGGTAATGCATGTCGACACAGTCTATTTTAAATGGACGCCTTGTTGAAATGCTTTATATACTTCACCTTATCATGAATGTTCAGGCTATGCTACTCAATGTTCATTGTCTTTTTCACAAACTAGTGTAAACGAATTGGTTCTTTCGCGCTGGCTTACAGGTTTGGCGGAGTGACTCCGACTCAGATTTGAGGTCTGATGGTAGAAGGCTTTGAATCTTCGTTAGTATTATCTTGTGGATCGTTTGGTTGTCCAATAACCTCTTGAATGAGTCAGATGATGACACAAACAACACTTTTTCCAGTTGCCGATTCGAAGAGTTGAATAAACAGCTTGAAAACCAATACTGTACGACTGTTATGTTCACTTTTACCATTTACACCCTCCTGCAGGGTTCTCTGATGTGTTCCAATCCGGAGGGAAGAAAGCAAAAGATAACTAGGATCTGAAGTTACTTCTTGAAATCCCAGTAGCATATTTTAATCTTTTGTGTGCAGTGTGATGAAGAGATGGGGTTCAACACAGTGAGTTGTATCTTGGGTTCTGCGGTACTTTTGGGCTGTAGTCGAAAAGTTTCACGTCATCTGCAGATCAGGCGCAGTAATACTACCTTCAAGTCGGACTAATTAATAATCGACTATCTCCACCCTTTCAAGTTCTTTGAAGCAGGAAGATACTTGTGACCATTTCAAACCCAGAACGTACTCCAATAAGACAGACGTAGAACCAAGGAACCATCGTTCACTAATTCTACCACACGAAGACTGAAGTTTGTGTCAAACTAGACATAGCATGTATCATACGAGTTGCTGGACCACTTTTCAAGTAAATATTTAACCCCTTTGCCCAACGTTACATCATTTTGGATATGGCTTTAGTTTCATATCTCTGGAGGTGAAATACATCCACTGATCCGAATGGAGATTCGAGATAGTGATCAAAGTTACACGGTAGCTCGGAATGTGATCAGCCAACATAACACTGTGGTCTCTAAATCTTGAATAACGGTGATTTTAGTTCATCATGGGTCCCTATTTTGTAATTCTTCCAAACGCTTCTTGTTCTTCTATTCAATGGCAATCTACCGACGCCGGCATTAGAACGGGGACATTGTCACGAATTGAACGCAACCTAAAAGTTATCCTGAAGGTGGTTACTAAACTATTCATGCGCCTCGTTAATCTGAAGCGCGCTACAGTGACGACGGAAAACAACGGAATGTCACTACTGACGACGTCCCTAAGTTGTGCTCAACTCAAGAACTCAACACACAGTCCTGCCCGAAAGATGCTGACCAAGCTTCCCATAATTTTTTGGTACTCAGGCCAGTAGCACTTTACTAGCTTCCGAAACCTCAAGAAACACAGTTGTAATGCACGCCGTAATGTTAGTCATACCGAAGGATTTTTCTTCAGGAATAATAACTTCAAACAGTGAGAAACCAAAAACTTTTCTGGTGCTCATAAAAGATGCATTCGGAAGCTGTATTCAGCGTGTGGCAAGGAAAAGCAGTGATGCACGAAGCTGTTGGTGGGTAGTTTAAGTACATATTTTCACTCATATATCACAGTAATCCCCAGAAGAATTCTGATTATCCTCGGCTGTCCTCACCTGAGGCCCACAAAACACATATCTTGATACTCGTTCGATAATATTTTTTCGTCTACTGAAATGATAAATTGCTCAGTACGACCCGGCAACCAATCCTTTACGTGGACATGCCTCATGACGAACCACCATGACCCAGATGTAATCCGCATCAATGGACAGATAAGTTGGGTTCACGAATGTCCCCTTCAACGCGTGGTATATATTAAAGTAACCATGAACCTGTTTCATATGTCTCGCAGTGTTTTCCGGGTACCAGCTAGAAACTTATACCAGAAGCATTTAGATGCGTTCCAGAAAATAACGGGGTGTTGTTCTGTGAGAAAAATCCTAATAGTCTCCGTCAAACGATGCAATGCACACCTTTCACCCGAAGTCAGAGATCCATGGGAAACTGAACTGCATTATTGGCCAGCTACAACCTGACCTTGGCGCCCATTACTTAGCCTTTCGGTCTACACAAAGATGTAGACACAGAGGAAGTACGATGGACTGAAACTCTAATCGACCTCATCGCCTCAGAGGTGGTACAACGAGTTGCATCACTACAAAAAGCCATCGTCTACAGTGTCCCGGAAAGTATATCACTAAAAAGAGCTAAGGCTATGATCTTCGACGCCCGTAGCATACCATAAGTTACTCGTGGCTGTAAAGGGATTCAAAAGACCGGTTCACAACCTGCATGCCTTATCTCATTGCAGGTTGCGTCACCCCTTGATTGTGGGCAATCTTTTCAATGGGCAATAGTCTTAAATCCAGAAATATATTTAGACATATTAAGGTAGCTCAAGATCGAACCCCACTTCGGAGGAAAAATGCGAAACGCCAGGTAGTACTTAAGGACAACTTATCCGCTACGTGGCAGGTAAGTGCCACATCGGAAGGTAATATTCTTGTCCAACATTGTCTTGGTGAAATACCTGACTTTAAAAGCCTTATACCAGGTACTACCAAGTGCGAAAACTAGGTAAGATAATATCAGCTGGCCGATACAGTCGGGTAGTAAGTGCAGAACTCATGCGACTACAGCACTCCGCCAGTCCCCACGCCACTCAAGGAGAAAAAACACATCACGTGTCCACCGATAGTAACAGACACACTCTGTCTATAGACCTAGACTCATCCACATCTAACCGAACAACACACCGGTTCAGGTCTTGTGGCAACAAAAGGACACAAACACATACAATAATAATGAACCCCCTATGCCAAAACAAACCACTTCCTTTAGAAGTAGCGGCAGAATAAGCTCATCTGCTGTGCTGAAGGAAAAAGCACTGCAAGTAAAACCAGTATGACCCCGAAAGGGGCTGCCTCTAACGGCCGCACTCGATTCGGACAGGACAGCGAAAATACGTACCTGAGGAATGGTCGGATGAAACTTCCATTCACAAACGCAACCCAGAATTCGAATCCTATGGACAATGGGCATAATACTGGTCTGTAAAACAGGACTCAGGAAGTAACGAAAGCACTAATAGTGGACTGTACACCACGAAAAACTCACAGATGAGTCACCCTTGGTCTCAAAACTACTACATCCCTGACAGGACGAGTACGCGGCCCAGCTTTTTCCACTACCTGCCTCTCCTATCGCTGGACCCATTTGCCGCTTCCCTAACAACACCACAACCGGTAGCGAAACTGGAGTAAGGTGTTTGTCAAACGGTACCACCTTCCCTTATCATATTTGCCAGTGACAACAAAAAGCAGAACACCTACCACTTATGCCCACCTCAGCTTCAAACGGGGTAGGGAAAACTGCGACGTATGTCACCGCACTGATGAAATGGTAGCAAGCAATAACCTCACTTCTCTCTCCCAATACCCCTTGTATCTAACACTACTGGTCATCAACGCGCAATCCATAGTGAGTAAAATATCAGCCCTTGGAAGCCTAATACTCCTAAAATAACCGACACTGGTTCCGGTTGCAGAGACCTGGCTAACTCCAGATTTGTCAGAAGCACATATTATAACCAATGAATACACCGTTTACATTCAGGATAGAGTCTGTAAAAAAGGGAGTGGGTGTCTTATATATGCGTCGGACACTACTACTACTGACACCTCAAGTCTGAGCTAGATAAAACTCCTGAATGTACCCGGATGAGAGCAACCATCGCCGAACACAGGCCCTTATCCAATGTTTATATAAGGTACCAAACACCTCCATAGCAGTTGATGAGGTTATCTGCGAAACATTCGAGCATACCGCCACTCTAGACTTCGGTTCTATGATAGTCCGCGGCGAACTCAACCTCCCCGGAGTAGACTGGGGCATACGCACAGGTCCCATAAACTATAAAACTTCTAGCAGCCGTTGACATAAACAGTTGGCAGCGGTACGTGCAGTTCCCTGCGCGAAGCAGCAGCACCTCTGACCTGATACTTTGTCAAAACACTGAGCAGCTGCCCGTACAGGTAGAGGAAAAATTTACATACAGCGGACATAGCATGTTGCCTTGCACCCTACAACTTCTGGTAGGTCGTAGGGGTGTACACGAAGTAACACCAAAGTACTGTCAATATAGGGACATCGAGAATGCCATCTGGGATCTCCACAAGACACCCGTGAGATGCTTTGGCTGGAAAGACTTCTTCACTGGGGTATTCTGCCCCAAACTCTCGGCGAATTTTACAAGATTATTAGTCCCGCTCAGGAAACAACTGCCCCCGCTAAACTGGGCCTGAAAACAACTTTATATACGGATAGGAAGACTCGGCGCAAAATGAGAGGACTAAGAAAAGCACTTTGTTTTGAAAGAACTTTGTGCACTGGATCGGATACACACAACATTCTCTCGCTTCAAGAGAGAAGCCGAATGAAAGCACTGGCTGAACAACATAGGGCCCCTGGTAATTTGTCCAAGGCGCAAAATATTTGCAGTGTCCTGCAAAAGCGAAAAAATACAAAAGAAATGCTAATAGATCATTTGGAGAATAAAGTTATAGGTTACCGTGATCCACAGGAGGTTAGTGAACCTCAAATGGGTGGTTTGTTAAATTAACAAGAGCGCCCACGGCTCCATACACTTAGAGAGCCGGCACAAGCAGTAGCATGAAGGCAAGCATAGAATTCAGAGTGAATACTATCTAACGATGCGGCGAAAACCCTAAATTTACGCAAATTCCTGGACGGTCATAGTGGCAACGAAATCTGGACAGACAGTAAAATCCAGGAGATCTTTAGAGTGAACATATTCACAATCATGCTATTCAACAGACCTCTCTAGTACTTCACTCAATAGTGAGTACACCTCCTCCATAATGCTGCGTACCTTAACGTGAACACTATGGAAAACGCATTTCATGGTCCTCAGTTTTTCAAATTTTTACTTCCTTGCACCTCAATATCTAATTCTGATAGAGTAAATCTATATTGCTGTGAGTGATAGCACCTGAATAGATATCCACTTGGGTTGCATGACTGAGTGGAAACTTACGGTCCTGGACGTCGTCAGTGTGGGTTCTTTTGATCTCCGAAGCTATGAGTATAAGAATTTATGACAAAACAGACGTTTACCTACCTTAACGGGGTATTCCAAGGACGAATCAAACATGTCGACTGCTTGTAACAGAAATTTGGAGTTTTGCTCGACCTTGGTGCCACTAGTACAACTAGTGCAACTTGTACA